ATATGATCAACTCCACAAGATGGCGTCGGATGGGAGAGAGATGATAGAGGCAGGAAAGATTAGTTTAGAAGACCAATCTATAGGGTGATTAGAGTCCCTATTATGACAGAAAGGAGCATTATTCATTCCAACTAACTTAACCCTTCTTTTGTATACAATTTTCACTCAAATTTAGTGAATCTTTTCGTATTTACACGATGAATAATGGGTTGAGGAGAGAGGATAATATAGAGTGTGTCAAGAACACACTAAGTCAGACCAGCGTCAACAGCGGCCATTGTAAACAACTCAGTTAAGTTTTTTGTCGACTGTTTATTGTGTCTTCGTGTATCTTGGCAATTCTTATCAAGGTCAAAGGTTTACAGAGAGAGAGAATGGAGACAGATGGAGTCTCAGTGGCCCAATGGTAACACACTCGCTCCGCACTTCGCCAGCGATCTGGCCTGGGTTTGTATCCTGGTTGGGGAGGATTGACTAGGTGCCAGTGCTCAACTGTATGCCTCTGTTAACCCCAGCAGTGATTGGGTACCTGGTTGTTAAACAATTGGCGGGTTGTGTTCCAGAGAAAACTTGTAGGCTTGGTTTACCATGAGTTATGGGAAGGGAAAGCTCTCAGGCTGCTAACAGGAGTCAGCAGGCGTCTACTCCTGTACCCACCGAGGACAAGAAAGAGACGGAGCCAGACTGACTGTACTAAGCGCGCCCCTGCAGGGTGGAGCAGTAAGACGGACCAGAGATATGTCTAAAGTGTGCTGACGGCCGTCAATCACTTTACTAATTGGTGAGCTTACTCACCCTTCCTTGTTCTCTTCAGTACACACTTGGAAGGCTGAACGCTTCCAGCCTTCCAGTTTCATACGTGACTGGTCTTTTGGAGTTTTCCAGCTTCATATATGGCTAGTCATTTCCAGTTTTCCAGTTCCAAACATGGGTTCACAGCCTTCCAGTCCTGTATATGTCTGTAATATCCCACACATTAGTTTCCGTATGCAACCAAGTGATAGTCACACACACACTAAGACTGACAGGATGAGCAACCCAGCGGGTTTTCTTCCTATTGGGGAGTGTTGTACATGCTGCTATGGCGGTGTGTCCACTCACAGGATGAGTGACGCTGCCCAATACTGACACTATGGCGGTGTGTCCACTCACAGGATGAGTGACGCTGCCCAATACTGTCACTATGGCGGTGTGTGTCCACTCACAGGATGAGTGACGCTGCCCAATACTGTCACTATGGCGGTGTGTCCACTCACAGGATGAGTGGCGCTGCCCAATACTGTCACTATGGCGGTGTGTCCACTCACAGGATGAGTGGCGCTGCCCAATACTGTCACTATGGCGGTGTGTTCACTCACAGGATGAGTGGCGCTGCCCAATACTGTCACTATGGCGGTGTGTCCACTCACAGGATGAGTGACGCTGCCCAATACTGTCACTATGGCGGTGTGTTCACTCACAGGATGAGTGGCGCTGCCCAATACTGTCACTATGGCGGTGTGTCCACTCACAGGATGAGTGACGCTGCCCAATAAACTCGCCCCTCGGGGCAAAATTTAAATTGATCAGGAAAGAATCTACAGGGTTATTAATTAACGGATGAGGACAATACTGCTCGTCCAGAGTGGTTACCTTGAGGTGCTTCCGGGGCTTAGCGTCCCCGCGGCCCGGTCGTCGACCAGGCCTCCTGGTTGCTGCACTGATCAACCAGGCTGTTGGACGCGGCTGCTCGCAGCCTGACGTATGAGTCACAGCCTGGTTGGTGTGGTGCCTCTCTGAGTTAACCTGAGTATGTTAACATTTGATTTCGAGTTTACAAAAGTTTTCTGTTACTTCCCTCAGCGTTTCTCTCTAACCTCTCACCGATGATGTTTTTATATCTCCTTCATTCATTCCAGTGACACCGCAAGAACAATCTGGTTTATACTATAAGGGAGAATTACACACAGAAATCACAATAGCGTGATGCATCAAATGAACAAATCCACAAGGGCCGTGACGAGGATTCGAACCTACGTCCGAGAGCATTTGACCATGTCGTAGCTCAGTCGATTAAGGCAGCGTCTGGGATACTCTTGGACGTAGGTTCGAATCCTCGTCACGGCCCTTGTGGATTTGTTTACAAGGGAGAATGTTTGTTCAAAGTAGGAGGCCATAGACGCCTCACCAAAATTTGCAGGGGGAATGGTCTAGGGTACAGGAAGGACATAGAATGGCCAGGATCGCCAGAATTCTAAAGGAAACAGCGTGTCAGGGTCACAGTCTAACAGTCACGCTGATTTTTTTTTACACTCTCTGCCGGCTACATCTCTCAAAATATTTTGACAACTAAAATATAAAATTCTTATAGAAATCAGTACCATTATTCAGTGATCTCGAGAAAGGTAACATAAATATGCCCCTACCATTAATTTGGCCATAATAGCATAAAGCAGACGATCATTCCGCTGCTTCAAAGGCTTTCTCAAGTCCTGCTCCATTTTCAAAGCAAATGGATAACTATTTTGTAATATTTTGTAATATTTTGTAATATTTTGTAATATTTTGTAATATTTTGTAATATTTCACAAGGCTAAACTCCTCCCACTGGCGAACCATCCACACGGCAATGGTAGACAATTATATTATTTAAGCGAGAGAAAGAGAGGTAAGATAAAGAGACAAAGATAGAAATAGATAAAGAAAGAAAGAGATATATATAGCGATACGGAGAAAGAGTTAAGACAGACCTGACCAACCCCGGGGTAACCCCCGCTAGCATATCTACAAAGATAATGTTTGTTTATCTGTCCAAGGTTAGAGGCCAGAGGCTTGCTGTTAGCCTCCAGCTACTGTAACTTTCACACAGCTTTCCTTGGTGATTTGTGATTGTATGAGGGAGTGTAATAGTGGGCTCAGGGTCGTCCCCAATACCCCTCCTTAAGTAAGATAGGCTCTTATTGCGACATTTCAAGACTCCTATGAAGTCTAAAATTCTGGTTTGGTTTCCATAGAGTTTTCCAACATATTTTCAGCTGCTCATCAAACACACAACGTAGCTTAACAAGGTTGTTACAGTGTTGTAGTACAGCAACAATAGCAAAATATAATGTTGTGGTTATGTTGTGTGTTGGACACGTGAGAGAATGGGAGGGAGGGAGGGATGGAGAGCAGAAGGGAGGGAAGGAGAGAGGGAGGTAGAGATAACTAGAGAGAGAGAGAGAGACCCGGGCGCTGCCGGGTACCCTATATCTAGTAGAACATAAGAAATTGTGAAACTACAGAAGAACTGTTGTCCAATGCGAGGGATAATTTTCTGCTCCTATTTATAACAACTCAAACTCATTCATACACACGTCCAACCACTTGGGCAGGACGGTAGAGCGACGGTCTCGCTTCATGCAGGTCGGCGTTCAATCCCCGACCGTCCAAGTCGTTGGGCACCATTCCTTCCCTCCGTCCCATCCCAAATCCGTATCCTAACCATCTTCCCAGTGCTAGATAGTCGTAATGGCTTGGCGCTTTCCCCTTGATAGTTACCTTACCTTCTTTCATACACACGTCTCACTTCCTCTTAAACAAATCTACCAATAACCTGTATGTTATGTTAGCGGGTTGTCTGTTCCAGTCATTACCAATTTAGCGAATTCCATACCAGTATTTATCCATATTTTTTCTGAATATAAACTTGGCCAGGATTGTATTCATTGTTGTGTGTTCAATTTTGTGTGTTAACATAATTAACACAATATATATCGCCCTTGTTATACTGTGTCATTTATTTACGTTCCTTTGTTCTGCACCAAGACTTATAGAACTTTCAGTCTCGCCCTGTCTACAAGATTTTATATGTAGTGACTATGTCTCCTCTGTGTCTTAATTTCCCAGCATTGAGAGATTCAAGTTCTTTCAGCCTTGTAGCTCGGTGGGTCGGGTTTCAACTCTTGTACCCCGTCTCTCCAACTATTACCCTTCTAATATAATGACTCCTGACCAATGTGGTATATCTTATTGGCTTAGGACATTGTATGCATGAGTATGTGTACGAGTACATATAACATGAATAATTGTGTAACTAGTGTCAAAAGATTATTATTTGCTTAGCTAAACGAACTAGAGGGTTGTTCCTGAACCGATTATGTGCCTCTGTAATCCTTTACACCACCACCCACGGGATGGGTATGAGGCGCATAATAAAGAAAGAAATTGAATTAGGACATTGTTTTTAAAGCGGATTCTAATATCTAACAGTTTCCTTACATCTACAGCTCGCCTCCAGCTGCCAAACATGTCCTCTTGTTCTCTAGTTCTTCACCGTAAACATTTCATCCTTTTTTCCAGCTTGTAAATTTTCCAAAGTATTTGATGTCTTCCTCGCGTGTTCTCTCTTCCCCTTCTTTAGCGCCGTTATACAGAATTCCATCGTCTTTATCACACAAAGTTCCGGGACGAGGCTTGGTGTGAACCTCTGTATCATTTAAAGTTTCTTTGCTTTATGAGGTCGAAGTTTCAACACAGGGCTACAGAAATATATTAATACACAACTGTATATTAGTATAGAAAATACCATTATGCTATGAGAGGAAAAAGGAAATAATGTGTTTTCTTTATTTCTTTAATAAATACATATTGCAATAATAATAATACTAATTATAATAATATAATATTTGACAGGATATTGCACAGGGCTCTATTGTGCCAGTTAAAGCGATTTGGGATTGATGGAGATTTTGCAGCTTCATAAAAATTACCAAAGGAACTGAGTGTATCAGGCAGTCATGAACACTATACACCCTGTGAACAGGGTATAGAAGCAAGTGTACCCCAGGGTAGTGTACCCCAGGGGTAGTGTACCCCAGGGGTAGTGTACCCCAGGGGTAGTGTACCCCAGGGGTAGTGTACCCCAGGGGTAGTGTACCCCAGGGTAGTGTACCCCAGGGGTAGTGTACCCCAGGGTAGTGTACCCCAGGGTACTGTACCCCAGGGTAGTGTACCCCAGGGTAGTGTACCCCAGGCTAGTGTACCCCAGGCTAGTGTACCCCAGGGTAGTGTACCCCAGGGTAGTGTACCCCAGCCTAGTGTACCCAAGGGTAGTGTACCCCAGGCTAGTGTACCCCAGGGTACTGTACCCCAGGCTAGTATGCTTGGACCAAGGCGTGTGTGAAACAATTACCTAGTCGACACGATGATGACAAGTTGCAGTCAAAGGCTATGAAGACCATTGCACACTCAGTCTTGCAAGAAAGTGAGAGAAAACGAGACTTATAACAATGAAACATCATCATATCTTTAGGTCAACCATGGCTAGTTACTGTTGCCCGAGACAAAGGCTCAAATATACCGTATATTAGGCAAAGAGATTGTTGAAAATCTCTCCTCTATTAGACATAGGAGATATATATTGCAACTAAACCCATCTGGAACACTGCATGGTTGCACATTACCTAGATGCAATGTGGCGTATAATGCAAGAACTCTCACACTAGATAAATCACACATTACTCGCTTCTGATTTAGAACTCGATCTTGTCCACAAACAAACCAAACCTGCCAGACACAGAAGGCGTGGCCACGGAACTAGAGAAAACGGAACTTAATTAATCCACCCGATCCAGTGCCTTGCACTCACCCTGGTTTGTGTTATATTTCCACACCATGAACACCCTGCACTTCCCTACCACTTTCCTGCACCTCAGGGGTAACACACCACACATGAGCTGCAACAAAAGGCAACCAGATGGTTCTGTTCGCTCTGGGCGAACAGAACCACTTCGTTTGTCGCATTATTAGAAATACACAGAATTTCTAAGCTTCTTTTGCCAATAGCTTGGCGAATCCAAACTTGTAATCACTTCAAGAATACAAATATATTTTACATGAGTGGCTAACAACATGTAGAGGTATGCAATAAACAATGAGCAGAGAACCATGACTACAGATAATTGTACAGAAACAGTTCAGTTCTATTTTTCTGCCACCAAGTTGTGTAACGAAAATGATCAATAAAAATAATAATAATAAAAATAATAATAATAATAATAATAATAATAATGACAAAAATGAAAATAATCCTACAGAGAAAAAGAGAAGTTTTAGTTTCTTAATAACATTATGATTTAAAAATGTAAATGTTATCAATTATAATTTATATTTTGGTAGCAGCAGTTATACTAGCAATAATATTGATAATAAAAATGATGCTATTAGGTAACCTTAGAATAAATATTAGGAATATCATGAGGTTTTTCACAATTTGTACGAGAAAGACAGACAGACATCTTGCCAAAAAAATTCAACATAGTGATGCGCACACATAATGGCGCCAACAGTGGCACATATAATGGCTCTTGCCCCCTCCCTCTCTTTCGGTCTCTAGGCCGAGGCCTGGGTCTACGCGAATGTCTGAGTCGGGGCGTGGGTCTACGCGAAGGTCTGAGTCGGGGCGTGGGTCTACGCGAAGGTCTGAGTCGGGGCGTGGGTCTACGCGAAGGTCTGAGTCGGGGCGTGGGTCTACGCAAAGGTGAGGCCGCAGTGGGTGCAGCGTCTCTCCATCATGAGGAAGCAGCACAAGATGCCCAGCGGGAAGAACAGGACGGCTATCCAGATGCCACAACAAGTGAAGTCGTTCCTGAGGATCCCGGCCTGTGGGAGAGAAGAGTGAGGGCTGAGAGGTGGCAGGGGGTAGTAGGGTAATTATCAAGAGATAGAATATGTCTATACATCAGAGTGCAGGGTGAGAGTATGAAGATCCTCACACTAAAGGAAGTTCAACTACAGTCTACTAGAAACCTTAACTCGCTTCAAATTCAAGTATGTTTACTGAGATAAGAAACACATCTCAAAGGGATAGAGTAGCTTAGGCTATTTCAACCCCCCCCCCCCCACCCCATTAACTCGCTTTTATTTATAAAACAATGAACAGTGAAATGGACTTTTAATACGTATCAAGACCGTGGAATAAGGGTGCACTGTTCAAATGAACTAGCTTGGCCTTGGCCTTTGTTAGGGGACGAAGTTGAAGAGGATGAATCTTTGTGTGGACGTGAATGTTATCAGCGGGTTGTTGGCAACATTAGAGCAATGTTGTAGGGAGTTGTGAACAAGGCTTGAAGGACTAGTACTGACATTCAGTGAACATGGCAGAACAACTGATGTGAAGAGAACAATAAGAAATTATATTTGTATTTATTTCCTATAATGTAAAAGATTAGTGGGGGGGGGGGAGGTAGAAATAGCCTAAGCTACTCTAACCCTTTGAGGTTTTTTCTTGTCTCAATAAACATACTTGAACTTGAAAATGTAAGAGGAGACACTGTTAACTTGAGGCTAGATTGGTATACACAATCACGTCACCAGTGTTACGGGATGAATCACAACAGTGTTTCTGGAAACACAACACGTACGAGTCATAAACACTCATCCAAGGCCTATGTAAGACTGACTTGAGTAACAGCGAGCCAGCCAGATGGCTTAGGCCCCGCTCAGAAATATCACAGAATAATAAAATACTTTTCAAAGAACTGAAAATCTTTTTCCGGTTTCCTTTTTTTCCAGGGATCTCTCATCTTTTCGGGGATTCCGGAGTTTCTACCGGAAGCCGTTGAGGGAGCGTAACGTGAAGTCCGTAACTTATTCACCCTTAACAGCCCTAGTCAGAGATTGCTCCTGACAGCACTGAGAATGAACCACGGTAGGATGAGGCTGTCCCCTTCGGTACCCATAACTGGACATGATAGCTCGAATCTCTGAATTTTACCCCATTACTGCTTAACTTTGCGATACGCCGCCCCATCAATACGTTGAGTGAGGGACTGAGCAGCCCGCCCTTTTGATCTGCCTCTCGTGACAGACAAGGAAGCGCTCCTGTGATGATTGTCATCAATCATCACAGGATTGATCAGTGTGGCAGACACCACTACACGACGACGACGCTTCCGGCAGTTCTGGACCATTATCAAGTCGTGTAATAGAAAGAGAGAGTGGAAGAGATAAACAATATGAGGGAAGGGAGTTGAGATGAAAGAGGGGAAGAATAAAAGAGAAAGATAAGAATAAGATGAATGGTAAGAATGAGATGAAAGAAAAATAGTATGAAAGGTAAGAATAAAGAAGCACAAACCAGTGAATCTATACGATGGTAGAACATGGTTGCAGCTGGCAATCCCAATTATTATGGCCGAAGAGGAGGACGACGAGGGAGAGAATCAGTAATAGCGAGAATCCGTCTTGGATACAAATATCCTTGGAGATATGTAATAGAAACAACAGTTGGTCAGCGAAGTTGCAGAATCTGTGGTGAGAGTGATGGACACCGCCTTGACCACTATCTACGTGCATGTGAACACCTGAGAGACATTAGAAATATGTGTAGAATAATAAACCCCACATTGTTTGAGTTAAGAAAACACTATTTGTCAAATATTGATACTGTTCTTAAAAGATTTCCCCATTTTGCACCCGCAAGATAACGTAAGCTTTTAAGGGTTGATAGATGTTAATCTTCTTGTTTGAGGAGCTGTTCACTTGAGACAGTTAAGCAAGTCCCAGCTGTGTCTGGGTACAAGTGACAGGATGAACAATCCAGCGGGTCTTCTTCTTATTGGGGAATGTTGTACATGCTGCTATGGCGGTGTGTCCACTCACAAGATGAGTGGCGCTGCCCAATACTGTCACTATGGCGGTGTGTCCACTCACAAGATGAGTGGCGCTGCCCAATACCGTTACTATGGCGGTGTGTCCACTCACAGGATGAGTGAAGCTGCCCAATACTGTCACTATGGCGGTGTGTCCACTCACAGGATGAGTGGCGCTGCCCAATACTGTCACTATGGCGGTGTGTCCACTCACAGGATGAGTGGCGCTGCCCAATACTGTCACTATGGCGGTGTGTCCACTCACAAGATGAGTGGCGCTGCCCAATACTGTCACTATAGCGGTGTGTCCACTCACAAGATGAGTGGCGCTGCCCAATACTATCACTATGGCGGTGTGTCCACTCACAAGATGAGTGGCGCTGCCCAATAAACTCGCCCCTCGGGGCAAAATTTAAAAAAAAAGGTTAGAACATTCAAATATGTTCAGTGGAAGCGAAGGGTCACCCGCATCAACACAGGACTAGGGGTCCATAACCTTAGTGTTGAACTTTGCTCCTGGTTGTTGAAATTCAGGCTTCTCTTATAACAATATATTACTGGTAGTCGTGGGTGATGTGTACATAGTACATCTGGTGACCCTTGACCTCATGAGTCGACCAACAAACGATGGTTCACACCCTACAAGCGATGGTAGGCCCCCTACAAGCGATGGTACTCACCCTACAAGCGCTGGTACTCACCCTACAAGCGGGGCAGTTACCCCCCGCCATCAGGATGACTGGGGCCATCATAGGCTGGGTGGTCACCACTGAGGAGTGCGGCTGTTGCTGCATGTAAACGGTCTGAGTGTGGGGCTGGAACCTGATGGGCGGGCTGGCGCTGTATGGTGGTGGTGGCCCAGCTGGAACACCACGCACAGAATGTAAGAAATGGATATATTTTAGTGTAGAACTTTGTATATAAGTGTACAAGACGTTGTAAGTCTTTTTTTCTTTGTAAATTTGGCGCCAGGTCGCATGTGGCGTTAAGGCTCATTAAGTGCGCATGCGCGAGTTGATGGGCTCCAAAAAACAATTTGTTCTTTATAAACAAAAAATAAAATTGCTTAAAAAATGTAATTACGCTTTCAAGCGACATTTGCACTTTTAAAATTTTTTATTTTTAATTAGATTATACGAAGTCCTATGAACAGCGTAATAGAAAAATATAAACTAAAAATTTATATTTTCAAATATTGGAATCTAACCTCAGTGCCAGTGTGGAGGAGTGAGGTTGTGGCGTCTCGCTGGGAGATATCTCCTTTTTATTTTGGAACTATCATTGAGGTACAATACGTTAGACACGTCTTCGACCCTGCAGAACTAGTATAGTATGCTGTCTTCACTTCTTATAATTGTGGTGCTCTTATAATGGGTTAGCGAAAAGATTATAGGTTTGTACACCTCTCTATCCCTTTACTGAACACTTATACTTTTTAAGCAATCGATCCAGGCGTGAAAATTGAGGTGGTTCAGACAAATTAAAAACGCCACAATGTTGTTGATGCTTTAAGTGCATAGCCTAGGCTCTGACGGTTTTTGGTTAGGCTAAACCACTACATTTTTTGTTACGGAGGAGGAGGAGTCTAGAGAACGGCCATGCCCACAGGTTACTGGGTTACTTGTCTGTATCTGTTTTACTAGAGTACTCTAGTTATACTAGTTATACTAGAGTAGATTTTGATTTTACTAGAGTAACCCTTTGACTAGGGTTCTGCTACAGTGCTAGCCAATACTGTACCATAGTTTAAATTGAAATTGAAATAAGCTTATTGAGGTAAAATACACACAAAGGGATGAGGTAGCTCAAGGTATTCTCACCCCGTTCAGTACATACATAGATACACATCACAAACAATAAACATATTACCAAACATTCTGAGAGATAAACTTATACATTTCCTCCTTTACACAAGTAGTATGGTATCAGACATACAGATAAATACTTTTACTTTTACTTTTATGACCTAGGTTGTACCATAGTAAGTTGTATGTGTGAAAAATTTAGTGTATATATTTTGACCTCTTATGTGGAGTGCTAACTAATATCGTGTAATTTTCTATTTGAGATAACCCATTAATTCCTTATTAAGGACCTTGTACAATAGTGAATTTAGTTGGTCAATGTTATATCTCCAATGTGGAGTAATAAGTTTTATTTTTTCACGTTCTTGAAAATCCATTAAGTCATTAAGAAACTTCTCCATTAACGAAGGTACTTTTGCTTAACTGATATTAAATAATGCTCTTGTGTTATAGAAGTGGAATTAACTATTGTCATATAATTATTTTATAAAGTAATTGTGATAAGCTTCATTAATACCTTCATTTAACCTCATAATGAAAGTAATTAAATAGTTATTAGTGTTCTTATCATTTTCCTTTTTCTGATTTATTTGATCAGATGTTGTATAACCTTCATATAATGTGAGACGTGTAAACACTTCCAATTTAAAGTAAGTAAATATGTCACAAAAATTGTATTAGTCATGATTTTTAATTTCATTGTTTGCCTTGCAATGTCTCTTGCACATTGTACCGGACATAAGAATTAAATACGTCTTCACAAGATCACACGGTAAAAATTATTTGAGAGAGAGAGAGAGAGAGAGAGAGAGAGAGAGAGAGAGAGAGAGAGAGAGAGAGAGAGAGAGAGAGAGAGAGAGAGAGAGAGAGAGAGAGAGAGAGAGAGAGAGAGAGAGAGAGAGAGAGATTACCCAGTGTGGATACACCATCTCCGGGTCGCTGCTTTAGTGTACAGTACACACATTAGCCTCACCTGCTGCTGGGTTATTTGGGTGGTACGCTGGCGGCTTCTGCTCCATGGTGATTGTTCCAGCTGTCAGTCCAAGCTACTCTGAAAAGATGATCAAAAGTAAAGCTTTTTGTACATGTACAATTACCCCATCTATATTTATATATATTATAATATTGGGGAAAATTTTGACTATATTGCTTATTAATAAGGTATTTGGAGGTCCCAGAGTATGAACTTGCCCTAAGCGTTCCCCTCCTAGCAAGTCTAGACAGCTGCGGCTTCAACTAGCTTTTATAAAGTACAGTATCTGTGGAAGTATACAGTATACGCTGGAAGTTATTTGCTACGGGCTGCTTCCTGGGGATGTGTAACAAAAAGGAAGCTTGGTCGAGGACCGGGCCGTGTGGACGCTAAGCACTGAAATCATCTCAAGATAAACCTGATCCCCCCCCCCCAAAAAAAAATAATAATCACATTACTTAGCCTTTAAACCCTAAATAAATCTTTATGATGTTGTTTATGTCATTACTTCTTTTATTGATTGTGTTAATGTCTCGCGATCATCGTTGATAAACTGAGAATGTGTGAAGTGTTCTTATAGTATTTTAGTAGGGAGAGAGAGAGAGAGGGAGAGGGAGAGAGGGAGAGGGAGAGGGAGAGAGAGAGAGAGGGAGAGGGAGAGAGAGAGAGAGAGAGAGAGAGAGAGAGAGAGAGAGAGAGAGAGAGAGAGAGAGAGAGAGAGAGAGAGAGAGAGAGAGAGAGAGAGAGAGAGAGAGAGAGAGAGAGAGGGGCAGACAGACAGATAAACACACCCTGTCACCGCTAGGTATCCCTTCTAATATATATATATATATATATATATATATATATATATATATATATATATATATATATATATATATATATATATATATATATATATATATATATATATATATATATATATAATAAAGATAGTGGAACTCAAGATGCCGCTGACCTCGTAGCGATAACAAGATCTTATCTGGATTTCGTTATATCGTTTTCAACCTTCTAGAAAAAAAGTCTATCAATATTCCCTAATATTTATTTTATTCAAAACTGCGTAAATATAATAAGCTGCGGATCATCCATAGAAGCGAAGCGAAGGTATCGTACAAGGAAACTGTCTTAAATGTTTCACTCCAGAGGGAAACAACTCATACACTAGCATAATACTATTCTTCTCTGCATATGTTAGCTTTATATTCAGTTTAATAGCCTCACACTACCTTTGTATTTCTTAATCGGTCCAGTAATCTTGTATTAACTCAAATTGTTTATATTATTCATTAAAAGCTATTGTCATTGTAACACATGACATTATGGCGTAAAAAACATAGGGTTCAGTAAATTCAGAATTGTTTTAATTAACTAAAATTTTGTTATTTTATTTTCTATAAAACTTCATTACCCAAAAAGGGTTACAACATTGGTTACATGCAAGGTACAAGGCGCATATATATATATATATATATATATATATATATATATATATATATATATATATATATATATATATATATATATATATATATATATATATATATATATATATATATATATTACCAAAAACTATGGTCTGGAAACATTTACATATTGCCCGGAAACTTTTAGATATTGCCCGGAAACACTTAGATATTGGTCAGAAACTTTCAGATATTGTACTCAAAGCTTTGGATATTTCTCGAAAACTTTTAGATATTCACCAGAAACACTTAGATAATGGCCGAAAACATTTTGATATATAGCCAATTAAGCTTATCGACCCCCCCCCCAGGCCAGGGATTGAAATGGGCAATAATCTTGTAAAGAAATTATTTCGTGTTCCCATGGGAATTTCGAGTCGCATATTGCAATTTACTCTTTTACGTGTATTTTACTATTTTGGCTAGATGAGGAAAAATAACAGAATGCTTGAAAGCATTCTTAAACCAATCTGTTTAGGCAACCGATAGCTCTTTTGAATTGTTTAAATGGCACAGCTTTAGGAATTATAACTAAAAGTTCCCAAGAAGCGAGAATGAAATAATTCAAAGCTTGTTTAGAAAGCCTGTTAATTAAAAACTATATTAATATTTTTAACAAGACAATTGAAAAATAACATAATTTGTAAATAATATTTTACCCCATAAGCAACAAGATGTGAAGTGAAATGAGCTTTGGATCATATTATAAAACACGGAAAAACTTGATACAATGCCGGAGTTATAAAACATACTGTGACGATAATCTCCTTCAAGAGATTGAGCCTGCTCTTCCCTTCATAATTACGTCTTCACAACTATATAAAAGACTATGGAAGAAATGTCCAACAACGACAACAACAACACCAGCACCAGCAAGGCTTGCCAGGGTGAGCAGAAACGTATGCAGCCCGCCACCTGTTCGGACCCAAATCACCAAACTACCCGTTGATCGCTACGGCTCCGCTGATTGGTCGCCGGTCTGGCTGCACCTGCACTCGCCCCCCAATACTACCTGATGTCTGGGGTCGCCCCAACATCAGTCTTCAGAATGTTCCGTGCTTTCGTAGCCAGCACACCTCCCAGCTAGACTCTAGAGTGTACTGAGAGAGGTGGTGGCTTTAAGCCAATATTCCAGCACCTCCCACTTACTGTTGTATTGCACTTCTTGTTATTTTGCCTTAACGTAACTTTTCATTTTGTCATTTAATTATTCTTATTATTTTGATTGATTTTATTATACATATTTGTTTGTGCATTATTTTCATGTTTTGATTTATTTAACGTAATTAAAATTTCATTGTTAAAGTTTACTTGTGTTTTGTGTGTCTTCTCCTTACCTTACCACAGACGAAGTTCCAGTTTTTCTATTTTTTTTTATAACTATGTGACGAGGCCATACCCCTAGCCTTAAACAGCCGAACACCAACGCGTTACCGTCACAATACAAATAAAAGATTTCATAAATCTATGTATTTACGTATTTAGCTTAGCCTAACATTTTAAAAGCACTACGATCACCTTCTGTGGTTGTTCAATAAATCTCTGAACTGTATGTTTGACAAATCTTTCACCCTGTCCATGGAAGACAGAAGAAAATGTATATATGCTAGTTAGCATTGTAAATGTGTGGCCACGTCTGTGGTAGAAAATGATAATAAAAAAAAAGGCTTTTTTACTCTGAGATTTTTGTTGTTGCACCAGTGATGACAAATATTTTATATCTATCTTATATTTGGTTGTTTTGAGAAATAAGCATACAGCACTAATTTCAGCTGTAAGTCTATTACCATTAATTTTGACAAAAAATCATCTCCGAAAACAATGACTCGCATGACTATGTCGATGAAAATGCTGCTAATACTGCCATTAAGAGATTTTTCAGCCAAACGTTTCACCAGTGAAATTCTAAAATTTCAAACATCGTTTTCTGCAAGTTTCTGTGTTAATCCAGTCATTAACAGACTCTTTCAGTGTTTTGTAGTTGAACTTTTAATTTTGCTTCCAAACTGAGCTTTAAAAATCATTCAATTGCATATCCACATTATCCAGATCAATGAGCCGCAACATTTCCATATTCAGTTTATCTAATGTTACATTGCCTACACACCTCATGACTTTTGAAGATTCTTCAAATGACCTGATTTTAGTAACTCTTAAAGAAAATTCATCAGCATTTGAATCCCTGATGCTCAAAATTGCATTTGAAGTCTCTGAATGTTCATTTTCTTATGAATTTCAAGATCTGCCAAGTAATTTTGTTTAGGTTCAAGAAATATTTAAGAAATATTTAAGAAATATTTTAAGAAATAGTTTAAGAAATATTTAAGATATTTTAAGAAATATTTAAAAATGAAAAGAGCCAATGTCGACATCCCGTTTAACAATTTTTAGTTTCATTTCAAAGGTTTTTATGTTATCATACATAACATAAAGTGTTTTGCCAGTTCCCTGTAATTTATTGCTCAAGTGATTTTCATAGATTTCTCTTCATATTTAAAACTTCAATATGCAAATCTTCACATCAGATAATTCTTAACAAGACATTTTATTATTATTAAAAAACAGATGAATTTCATCCAAGCACTCAATAAATCCTTTAAGGAAAGAACCTCAACTAAGCCAACAGTGATGTACACAGTCCTCTGTACCCCGAATTCACCTAGTCAGTAAATTTAGTTTTTTTCCAGCAGCGCAGAATTTGTTTGCGCTGAATCGAAAAATCAGAAATTCAAAAAGGCAGTTTTTGCACAAAAGGCCACCCCGTAGCCAATACAATAAAAGCCTACCAGTGTATGTTCAACATATATTGCAAACACAAAACTTAGTTCATGCTGGGTGGTGCACCATCAGTTGCCACACTAACTATTTTTTAAAAGTCAATTAGACAATTTGTTTAATTCTTCTGCCATGCATATTTCAGCCCCTGTGGTATGTTCCAAGTTAACCAGTTCTTCACATATCTCATCACCAGCCCCTGTGGTATGTTCCAAGTTAACCAGTTCTTCACATATCTCATCACCTATACAAAATCGAGCAATAATGGCTAGCCTAGCAGGTGATGTAACATTTGTGCTCTCATCACGACAAATGGAAGGGAATCCATATGAACAAATATAATTTCTTAGTTGTTCTGCTGTTTATTTAGCCTTAATAGTCTATCGTTTACTGTATTTCCACTTACTTGGAAATCTTTAATACGTTGAATAATGTTTCTTTTCTGAAAACTTTTCAACGAGGAAAATAAATTTTTAGCTAGGATTCTTTAAGCTCTCCACCACTGAGTGGTTTTTCCATGATTTCAAAGAATTCCATCTTTGAAATCTCAGAGCCAGCAACAACTAAGCTGGAACTATCTTGAGGTTATCTTGAGAGGATTTCGGGGCTTATCGTCCCCGCGGCCCGATCCTCGGCCAGGCCTCCTTTTTGTTACACACCCCTCAGGAAGCAGCGTGTTACGGACTCGTCACCCTTGTCAGTGGGTAGAGTGGCAATTCCAGCGCCATCTACGAGTCCGCACCCGAACTGCCCCGGAATCGTACGTAATATGGACAATGACATCTGGTGGTGGCTATCTAAAACCTGTAAATGGCTAAAGATTCCTGCCTTGGTCAGCCAGAGGGGTCGTTGTGAGTGACGTCTGGTGAGGTGACGCATCAAGACCAGCGCCACCTAGTGTGTGCTACAGAACACAATGTCAACTCCCCAGTGGGTTAGTGGTATTTCCTAGTTTCGCCAGTACCGGCAAGGTCATTGATGATGTTTTTGTACCCACAGAGGTGAAGTCTGGGTGCAGCGGTACGGTACTGGAGACGTCAGTTCATCTTGGGCAGTCCACAGTCACCCTACACGGTCCTGGAGACTACTAAGTAAGCCGCCGCCGATGAAGCAGTGTGGTAGCTGTAAGTGCTTAAGTGTTGAAAAGATCGGCGTACCTTTGGGACTGGCTTAGGGGAGAGACTGACGACAGGGAGGTGCCTGTTGAGTAGTGCTGCTAGCTGGTCGCTAGAGACTGCTGCCAGGGGATCGCTACCCCTGTATTGTGACCCCGCTCAGCGTGTGGCTGAGGTACTCTGCCAGCGAGTAGCTGGAGAGTGGTCGTGGGGGTACAGGCACCTCATGACACTGTCAGTGGGCTGGCCCACGTACAGGTGAACTACCCGGTGTTCTTCCCAGTAAGGTTGGATACGCTACTGGACAGTGAAGAAATACTGGGGAGTCATGAACTCTTCACGTGAACACGTTTGATATCCTGAGTGAAAGGATTGTACATAGGTGTAGTAATAGCCTATCTGTTCTTTATATATTATTTATGGTGGCGGTGTACATATATATATATTTAACGGTGGTGGAAAGATATTTAATACATTGCCGAAAGGAACAGTGTGTTGTTCATCCCACCTTTTTTTATGCACTACATAGCCACTTTCTTGAAAGCGTACTACCGACTTGGGGTCGGATACTATAAGTTTGGTTCTACCATCAAAGAACCCGGTTGCCACCCATAGTGGCCGTAACACTCCTGGTTGGGCTGACCTGATAATTTGAAAGTAAGTTAAATGCACTAAATAACATTTAGTTAAATATTGTAATATTGATTGGTCAGTCACTACTATATAAACTAAATATGCTTACGAGGAAAAAATGAATATTCACGAAGCCGCTAATCTATATATTTGCTGTTATTATCATTAATATCCAGAGTTCCCTCACAATTAATAGAATAAAAATATAAGTAGAGCGAAGCCAATGCCAAGTGATTACTTCTTTGATACTTGAACTTGACCCACAAGTACTGGTGTACAGTCGGTCTGGGATGAGTTCAAAACTTGTGGTAAGCGGGATGTGCTCTCAGAGTCACTCGTGCGGTTGCGCCACAACCCGGCATCACCAGAGTTCAGTCTCACTGAACAAGACAACGAGGAAAACTGTTCCAGGTTTGTAAAAAAAAGTCGTTGCTTCACTTGCCAGTAATGATAATCTTCAAATTTGTATTTATTTCTGGGGCTGCATTCCGTGTGCCAGTCAAATTTGTTGGCGTGCTATAGATGCGTCACTCCTGCCCTAGGCCAACGAGACCCGCTGCAGGATGCAACCCACAACAGTCAACCTGACCGCACACTTAATGCATAGAACTCTTGATGATGATTTCGACCATAGCGACACAATTTCAGAATGTGACGTTGTCAAATCGTGTGAACTAGGAGAACACGTGTATCAGGTGTAAGGAAACATGCCCCAAACGTGCCTTGGCCGAGAATCGAACCCATGCCTATCAATACCCCAAAATCAACCTGTCCTCAGAGGCGAGGTTCGTGTAACTAGCGAGTGACTCCGAAGGCGCAGTAGTCAACTTAATTTAACATATTGTGTACTCAAAATTTGTATTTTGTCAAATGTAAGTTAATATTATTATACATACCGGAATGTGTTAAATAGTTAGGCTTAATTTAGGTGTACTAGAATGTGTTAAATAGTTAGGCTTACTTAGGTGGTTATGTCAATTAGTTAGGTAGCTATGATCTGCTGGCAATTTGTGGTATTTGCCGTACGTGGACGAATCATTTATAGAGGTGGGATAGAAGCAGTGGCCGTGAACGAAGCACTACTCGAGAAAAGAACGCGAGTCATCAGTTGAGTCGCGTGTACTGTTTTTCATTCAATTGGAGGCTGGATTAACGAGCATTTCACGTTTGTCGATGAGGACGGTGTAAACGTCAAAACAAGCCTCTATAGAGCCCCTAATTTTTTTTTCTTTATTTAAGAAAATATAATTCTAAATCACATATTCATAAGTTTTACAAGGCAATTATACATTACAATTCGTAGTGAACAAGTGTTTCATTAGTACAGAACATGATCTTTAAAAAAAACTGAATGTTATACTTATTTACCTATAAACGATTTACAAAAAGTGGAGAATAAATTTACATTAAAATACAGGGGAAAGCTCCTAATTTGGTTCGTTTCGGCCACGTTTCAGCGTAGTCGGTATATGTGATAAACAATCGTGTCTCCTAGTGTTGCTCTGAAGGGGTGGATTGCAACCAGGCACCTTACTGATGCTCCAGGGTGGTTTTATAGTTTCGACTGGCTGCCAGTTATAAGTACTTATGTAAGTTTCTTAGTTATTGTATCCTGACCACGTGGTTAGATGGATTTGCCAGCTCCACCCCCTTCACCCACCCCTCGCCGCATTCATAGTCCGTCACAGTGAACCCCAAGTTGCCACCCTACGTCACCCCAATCAACTTCCGTCACTAATAATCCCCCTTCTCAACATGTCACTTATAAACCCCCCGAGCTGCCACACATCTCACCACATTCAATGTCAGTCACAGAAAACCCCCAATCTGCCACCCCCTCTACATAACAACATTCCCCCAAGACCCACCACAACTGAGCCTCCCCACCAAAACAAATGTCCACCAAAGCTTACTTTATGGAAGACAAGCTGGAGAAGAAAGAGGTTGGCGTGCGTGACTGCTCTATGACGGAGCGCTGGGAGGTAGCCTACAGCGGTGAAGGTCTCTCTCCCGCGGCTTATCTTATCACAACAACTCTGCCCCATGGTGGAGCTGGCTAGTTACCTGCCCGATACTAAGGCGCCATACTTTACAAAATCAACTTGTTTGGGGGACTGTACAAAATGCAACATATCCGGAGGAGGTTATTATTAAGAGTTAATCGCAAATATCTCAGTGAGCATGTTGGACGAGGCTTCTAGAGGAGGTAACAGAGTGATACGATTGGGTGATCAAGAGGATGGAGGGTGGGGGGGGGGAGGTGTAATTGTTGTCATTGTAAAGAACCGCACATTCGTCATCATTTTTGCTGGCATGACTCAGTCATATAACACATCCATATATGTATGTGATGATATAACACGTTATGTCGTCACATATAACACATCATATTGTTAAAAATAGTACATCATATCGTCACATATTGCACATCTTATCGCCACATGTAACACATCATATCGTCATGTATAACACATCATATTGTCACATCTAACACATCGTCACATATTGCACATCATATGCTCATATATAGTACATCATATGGTCATATATAGTACATCATATCGCCATATATAGTACTTCATATCGTCACATATAGCACATCATATCGTTATATGTGTTATGTCTTGTCGTGGCCCTCCTGTGTGAGCATGAGTGGGGGAAGTGTAATTCAATTTAAAATCAAATTCAAATGTTTATTCAGGTAAAAGTACATACACAGTAGATGAGTTACAAACATAATGTTGGGTTTATAGATAGAGCTAGTACATACAATGCCTGAAGCCACTAATACTCACAGCCTTTCGGGCAAGGTGTGGAGAAAAACCCACTTAGACTAAAACTTAATACTAATTGAGAGTAAAGTATAAATTGAGTTGAAAAAGGAAAAAGGAAGGAAGGGAGACATGGCAGAAATCAGCATTTATACAAATTGGTCAACAAACAGTATTGTTTGAAAATAGCAAGTCATGGGTTGAAATTTAGGGGGTAAGATAGGTTACATGGAGTTTATTAGGTAGTATTTAGTTTTTCTCTTAAACTGGTTGAGAGAGGTACAGCCTTTGACATGATTGGGAAGGTCATTCCACATTCTGGGTCCCTTGATTTGTAGAGCATTTCTAGTTTGGTTAAGGTGCACTCTTGGAATATCATATAGGTATTTGTTTCTGGTGTGGTGCCCATGGGTTCTGTTACAACATTCTAGGAAGCATTTAAGGTCAAGATTGACATTACAGTTCAGTGTTTTAAATATATAAGAGTACACTTGAGAGGATGTGCAGACTTAATATCTAACATATTCAGAGATTTAAGTAAGGGTACCGAGTGTTGTCTGGGGCCAGTATGACATTGTTTTAATAGCAGCTTTGTGTTGAGTAATTAGAGGACGTAGATGATTTTGGGTAGTAGAACCCCAAGCACAAATACCATAGTTGAGATATGGATAGATGAGGGAGTAATAGAGCGTCACCAGGGCAGGGCGGGGTACATAATATCTGATTTTAATAAATAAATAAATGTTTATTCAGGTAAGGTACACAGAAGAAATTGTACAAAATTGATCGATTTATATATAGAGCTAGTACATACAATGCCTAAAGCCACTATTACGCAAAGCGTTTCGGGCAGAAACGCTTTGAAATCTTAGAAAGAATGCCAACAGTTTTATCATTTTTTTTCTTTTATATTTAGAATGTGTCCCTAGAAATTCAGCTTGTTATCTATGAGGACATCAATGAATTTACCATCTACTTCGTTACTAATTTGGATATTGTTTATTCTTAGATTGATTTAATCTGTTGAAACAGGTTGAAACACTTATATGGATATAATATATATATGTAATAAATAAGCAGGCGACGAGTCACAATAACGTGGCTAAAGTGTGTTGACCAGACCACACACTAGAAGGTGAAGGGACGACGACGTTTCGGTCCGTCCTGGACGGACCGAAACGTCGTCGTCCCTTCACCTTCTAGTGTGTGGTCTGGTCAACATGTAATAAATAAGGCTTAAGACGGCATATATTAGCCCTAGGGTTGCTTATTTAAGCCTAGGACAGGTTAGGTTGCAAAGTTAGGGTTCCACTTTTTTGTCATGTCATTTGGAGTATTCCAATAATACGGTTTTTATTTTTATGCAAGAGTCCATTTTTGTGTAAGTTCGAACAACAGTTGCTGTAAGTTCTATAATTTTTTTGAGGATGGGCCGGTGTTTACTCGAACTCTTACATTTCCTATCGAGGAACTTGTCACCCCTTACTGTTTGTTGAGTATGAACTTAAGTCTCTCTCAATATTCGTTTTCTTTGCACACGCCCATATCCCATTTTCTCTGGTTATTTTTTCGTGTAGTCACATACATGTGTTACCTTACCAGGAACATTATCTCGGAGAGAGAGAGAGAGAGATTGGTGCCTCACGTCCACAGCTTGTTTATCAGCCAGCAGATCTTATCATACATAGAGATATGGCACCAAAGAGTGCTCACTTCCTTCCAATGTTAGACGTGTACCCATCTGAAATGTTTCACCCACGTACTGCTCACACAGGTAATTGCCTAGAGAACTGAAACACTTAACCTGACCCATCCCAGGCTTAAATATAGATAAAATTCTCATATTCAGTTTATCCTTGATTCAACGAATTGTTGACCAAACCACACACATGAAATTGAAGTGACGACGACGTTTCAGTCAGTCCTGGACCATTATTCAGTCGATTATCAAGACGAATTATATGGAACTAACCCCCAATTCGTTCCAGTGAGGCATTCGTTGCAACCGGAAATGCTTCCAAGATGCATTTCCCACGCCCTATGGGCTATTTTCACTTAGCAAAATTTTAATTTCAACTTGTCGTATGAAGGATAATTACCAAGAGAACTTTTATGTAAAGAGATTTAACTACATCTAGCATAGTTCCCACGCCCAGACCTTGACATCTCATTTTCAAAGGAAAAAGGGCCCATATTTGTGAACGAATACTAGAGAATCTCAAAATTAAAATGAACCACGGAATTTGGTTTCAAATATGCTCAATGGCTTTCCTAAGGCCATCTACGAAAATAATTAAAAACGTGACTAGAGGCAAAACGCCCCAAAAATATTATGAATATAACATTAATTCATATTTCAGACATTACCGTTTTTTATTACGCTATATGAATAATTTATCATCAGACAAGTACCGGAAGAATTAATAAGATTATGGTATAAACGTTGGCGAAGGTATATGTTTGTACAAATCCACAAGGGCCGTGATGAGGGTTCGAACTTACGCCCGGGATTTGTTCATCTGATGCACCACACTATTGTGATTTCTGTGTGCAATGTGTTTGTACTTCTGCGTCGTGGAGGACAATGAACGTTTCAATCTATACAAACAGGTTTACCTCATTTCTCGGGGGGGGGGGGTATATACAGTGAGAGTTTACTGTAGTCGTGGACTATGTTCAGGACTACAGTCCACTTACCGGTTGGTCAGTATGCTACTGTGATGGCCTTAATAACCCTCCAGAGGTTGACAAGCCTTACACATAACACTAAACCAAAAGCCATGCACATAGGGAATTTATATACACCGAAAAGTGTTTCCTGCTTCTCGATGTATATACAATTAGAGTTTACTTTCGCGCTGAACTGCCCTCAGGCCTAAAGCATTCGTACTGGTTGCTCGGTTAGCTATTGTGGTGAACTTAATAATCCTCCAAAGGCTGATATGCCTTAACCAAACACCAAGCCAACCCTCTGTACATCCAGTATCAGGTTCCAACACCCAAGGTCAAGGTTTATGGAGAACTCCTTAGGGATTCTTTTTCCGCAGTAACCAAAAGAAGTAGGAAAATATGGACACGCATGACCGAGACATTCACCATACTACAGTTGTGTTACAGTTTTTGGCATTCCGTTTAAGCAGATGTTATTGATGAGGCTACGCAGACCACCCGTTATTTCTCCACTCAACATCTCCTCCTAGCCTAACCTTTGGCGAATTGACAATAATATGCAGCAAATTTATCGTAAAATTGACTGGACTAATTTGTTCATAGATTTTCGGGAAAATTGTACCTGTGTTTAAAATACCCAAGGACTGTGAGGTACTGAAAGGTATAGAACCAAACGATTACAAAAATACCTTCAATTCTGCCCACACACACTCAGTGTCCCCCGTGAATATCATCACCATCATCAATTCTATATCATCACCATTATTACCCCGACCATCACTACTGAAGAAGGAAGGTCCCATCACTAGACAAGCTTGGTACGTTCAGAAGAGCGCCCGACAGCTCTTGCAGCGGCGCCTCCTGAAGGCCATGCAGCAGACGACGCCGCAGGGGAAGAACAACACCCCCAACACCACCCCCGGAAGCGTCAGCACCTTCTTCAGCTCCCCTACCTGCGTCAGGGACGGCATAGTTACACACACACCTTCCACAACATCATAATATAACTATTTTACTTATAAGAATTATTTGGTTATTTTCATTTATATACGAAATATTGGGATCATTTCATCGCATTGATTTAAAACATAAATCTCTCGTGAACAAATCCACAAGGGCCGTGACGAGGATTCGAACCGGGAGTATCCCAGACACTGTCTTAATCGACTTTCGCCTTAATCGAAAGGCAGTGTCTGGGATACTCCCGGACGCAGGTTCGAATCCTCGTCACGGGCCTTGTGGATTTGTTCATTTGATGCATCACGTTAGTGTGATCTCTGTGTGTAATAAACCTCTCGTGCTTACTCGTAAATCGAAGCATGTTATTAAAATTGTGTTACAGGAGTTCTTTTCAACCAGGATGTTTTAGGTCTCGGAAACCCCCGGGTCCTCGAGAGGTTTACAAATCAACGGATTCTGGGGAGTCGGCAGCGGTAGTTAGTGTGTAGTAAGAATACCAGCTCAGGCAATATACCCGGGTAAGGAGATGCACCTATACACATTTTGGTTACCGTTGCTGACTCTCTCTCGGGGTCCTTCCAGAATTCGTTGCTAGTAGACCTCCCTTGAGAATCCGGGACCCTCTAAGGCTAAAGAAGCGCGCATTGTGAATGACTTCC